TGCTTGGCCTCACGCTTCTCTTTCTCTTCTTTTTCCTTTTGTTTGGCTTCACGGTCTTTTTTATCTTTATCTTCCTCGTCTGAGGTGGTATCATCGTCGATCAGCGAGTTCTTGCGACTTTGCGATGATTTTCGCTTATCTTTGTCCTGAAAAATTTGATGAAAAAAAAAATTAGCTCAGAAATGCCAAAAAAAAAAATTGAAACGAAATTTATATGATGTGAATGAATGCAGACAGGAAAGAAAAAAATTCATAAACCGACGAAATAGATTCTCTGAATAGTATCGCTCTCAGAACAAAGTCATTAAATTCCACAGCAAAACTCATTTCGAAACACCGAAAAAAAATCTTAGCATACGAACAAACGAATAAACAAATACATCACACAATAAAAATAACAGCAGAAAGTGTCGAGTTTCATATGCTACTGTAGTTGTAATTGTTCGCCGGTAAATATAAACACGGATTCCATTTTTGCGTCTTTCAACACGAATTGAAATAAAACCGTATGAATTATAGCTCAATGTTGCTGATGGTTTCACATTCTCTCTCTCTCTCTCTCTCTCTCTCTCTCTCTCTCTCTCTCTCTCTCTCTCTCTCTTTCTCTCTTCACTTGTCCTCACTTCTGATTCTCTCACAACGTTTATGTAACGAGACAGACTGCGGTGCTAAAGCAGCCACCCGAAGTGTGCGACGATTAAATTCTGTGGAATAGCGGTAAATTGGTTGTGTCGTGCAATTTCATACACACAATCCAACAAAAATTTGCGAGAGTTTCATTTTTGTGTCGAATCACGACGCACACGATTTGCGATTTGTTTATGGTTAACATTTTTCTGTACTCATTGACCGAGTGTGGTTTCCACTAGTTAACAGAACAAAAATTATGCTTACCGATGCTTCATTATCTTCAGACACGGAGGCTGAATCGCGCTTTCTGCGCTCACTTTTGTCGGTGCCTCTTTCGCGTTCTTTTGGCTTTTCCCGGTCCTTGGTGGTGCGACGGTCTTTTGACTCTTTGGAATCCTTTTTACGGTGGTTTCTCTCGAATTCTTCGATCAATTCGTCACAATTGAGATTTTCGCGCGGTTCCCACGTGTTGTCCGCTTCGCGATAACCTTCCCATTTGATCAGATATTGTACCTAACACGAATCACGAAATATGATCGAATTTTGTTGGTTGTCGAGATAAAAAATGGAGTGGGGCAAAAACTTACTTTGCCATTTTTTGAGACTTTTTTGTCGACGACCCGTTCAACGACATAGTCTTGTTCCTCCTCATCATCGCTACCGCTACCGCTGCCTGAGTTCACTGATTCAGCCTCAGAGCTGTCGTTGACATCTTCTTTTGAATTCTTTTTTCCAACCATTTTCGATGGTGACTGCAAAAAAATTCCAATCGATAGAATGTAAAATCCACATGAACAAACAAAAACTATTTTCCTCATACAAAAATTACAACGCATTTAACAGCAAATGTCATTGAGAAAGTGCGCGCGTTTTTTTCTCGCGTCAGAAAAGTACAGAAATAAAATGTGTATTACCTTGAAAAATGCCAGAGATGAAAGTTTCTATGCTAATGTTGAACACACTTTGCTAGTTTTTTTCCCATTCAAAATTTCAATGAAAAAAAAACACCGGTTAATTTTTTTGGATATTATTTGTCAAAGTGCAAATAAGAAATTTTACGAAATGCTGAAAAACGTTTCACTGGCTCGTGGTGAACGATAAGAAATGACAAAAATTGTATTTAGATGAAGAAAGTTAGCGGCACTTCGGAGTTTTGTGCATTCAAAGCAAGTGAACAGACACAGTAGTTTTGATCGTCGTCAGTCACACAATGACGGCACAAACAACAACATCGTAAACACAATCTGTTTGCCAATCGGCGTTTTTCGCTTGTGTATATGTGAAATGTGTTTGCGTATTTGTGCGAGCTATGCCCTTTTCGTGAATACCGAATACTGATACTGTCTGTACGACTCAAAGCTGTCAGAGCATGACTTGCATGTGTGAGGGGAATACCGATAGACAACACAGCTGTAGCGATGTAGTTTGAAGTGTGATGCGTGCGTTTAATCTTCGTTTTTTTTTGTTTTCTTTTGGCGCGAAACACATAAACATCAATCTTCAAGAGACATTTCGGCGGAAATTCTGCACGTTTTATGAGCCGATTCAAATGAATCATGTTTATGACTGTTAAGATGAATTGTTGCTTAAATTAATTTACTTACTTTTTGAGCCTTCTGTTTTATTTCACCAAACTACCGGCTCGTATACATCTTTATGACTAATGTCCCTATTGGTAAAATCATCGATTTGAATAGTTTTCGTTAGGAAAATTTCTCAACAAGTGTTTTTATCGTTTTTTCTCCTGACTCGGGGAAATCTTTCTTCTTATTTTTTTGCGAAAAAAATTCTATTTGCGCAAGGATGAAGTCAATAAAAAATGATGTCAATTTTTAGAATCCAAAAACCATGTGGTGACGTACTAAAAATACACGTATTTCAAACATCAAGCATGTAATACATGCCATGTATGCTGAAACAACTCTTTGATATTGTTATAGTTCATTGCTCCCGCCTTAAATGTAATAAAAAACGAATTATCCACGTAGAAAAAGAGCCTGGCATTTTTTTTTGTATGACATAAAAATATTTTATTCAATTTATATAGAGAATTTGCAATTTTGAACAAAAAAAACGTGTTGTTTTCATAGAGCGTGTAGTACATATTATATGTGTGTTCCTTAAATGCTAAACCGATCTGATTACATGTAAATATTCCACTTGAATGATCAAATTCATAATAATATAATTAAATATTTGTTTTTATTTAAATAATAATAATGATAACTGGCTTAACCCACTACAGCTTCCAAGTGTGTGTGTGTATATATATATATATATTGTGATAGCACGTTAGATGATTCACGATTTTTTTTCCCAATTCTATGCGCTTAAGCATAACTAGAATTAAAAAATTTCGGTTGCAAAATTCTTGTAGATTTTTGTGTGTATTTTTTGCAAGTTCACAAGAAAAATAGAAATGTTTGCCATAAATGTTTCTTTTTAGAGATAAAACTTACGTTTAGCCTGCACTTAACACTAATGCCATGTGTGTACATTGAATGTATTTAATTTTTAAAGAATTGTAAAAATAAAATGGTTTGCTATTGAATTTATAAATTGGTATTGCTTTTTCGACCGATAAATAAGGTTGTCTGCATACAGTTTTTCTTTCTGCATATTATTATTTTGGCATTATATCCTTTGGTTGATTCTGTTTTCATTGTTTCTTCTTAGAAATTCGACGGTTAAACTTAAATATACTAAAAAAATGATTAAAAGGACACAATTTGGTTAAATCAAAAGGTAACAACTGTTTGAACTTTCTCCGCATAAATATCTGAATAGGTTTTTTTTTTGATTAAATATTTGGCGATTGCAAATCAACAATGATGATGACACACAATCAGCACATAAATTGTTCTTAGAACCTAAATGTGCTTCCTTAAGCTAAACAGAGACAAAAAAAAATTAAAACGACTAAAACCAAACGACTGCATTTTTCACTCGCGAATAATAATATGAACAAAAGAAAGAAAGAAAAAATAATAATGACATAAATTGGGATACATAAAAATTAGATCTAGTGGTGAAACATCACCGTCAGCAATTCATAACCACTAAGTGTGTATATATATATATTCGGCTCTCTGCGATTAAAAAATATCAAATTAAAAACAAAATAAATCAATAATTGGAAATTGACCGAGAATTTCCGCGTTGCAGTGAATATTGTACAGAAAGAAAAAGAGAAAACAAAATTGTTGTTATGGTGATCTTAACATTGTATACAATCAAATAGTATGATTATAATTAATGCTTAAATTGTAAATTAAGATGACTAAGATCGGTGAAATATATATAGAGAAATTTATTAAATATGTTTTTTTTTTCGTCCGGGTTTTTCTTTATCAATATGGCCGACACCAATCTGACTCTGTGAATGGATGTGCGCGTCTGCTATCTTTTGTTATATGCATGTGAATGCGGTTGTGGCAACCGTTTGTTTATCTTAACTAATACAATCTAAATCAATCAATCGCTATCAATATAGTTTGTTTTATATTTTTCTTTTACAATTCATGATTTTGTTTTGCTTCATTTTATCGTGTAAAAGTTCATCTTCTATTTTAATTTAATTCTTCTCTATTGGTAAACATGTTTCGACTATTTCAATAAATGCGCCATTTGTATATATATGCATTTCGATCAAATTGTGTGTGTGCTATTTTTTTTTTGGTATGTTTCATTTGATTGGTAATTATTATCGGCACTAAACTACACAGTAGTCTATGAAAAAAAATCTGCTGTATAAATGTAAAGTGTTGGTCCATCAATACCGAAAATAAGAAAACGAATGACATTTTACTAATAGATTTCTCCATGTATCACTCTCTTAAATTCCCATTGCCTGTGGCAGGCGCTTAACCACATTAGAAAAACACGCAGAGATACACACACTCACTTACATGCGCTTACAAAACTAGAAGTTCAGAAACCAATTATCGGCAATCGGGTCGAAAAGAGAGTGAGAGCGGTATATATTTTTGTATAAATTGTGTATGTCTTAAGGCTAAACGCTTAACCTCAAACCGCGAACAAAGTTCCGGTGTGTGTGTATGTGTGTGTGATCTATTTGTGTATGTTTGTGCGACAAAAACCTATTTATTTGATTACATGACCAGTATCGGTGTCAACTAGAATTTTATTTTCTTTATCACTGGAATATTGTAGATCGAAACTGATTTTCGGATACAGCGTTTTGACGTTGGCATATGGATTTTGATGGGTTGTATCATTGTTATTGTCACCGCTGCCACTATTATTGTTATTTTGCTGATCGATTGTGGTTATTTCTAAATTATCATAGCTCGTGTAAAAGGCCACTGGTTTTTGTTTACTTTTGATCAGTCCAAAATGGATGCGACTATGCTCCGGCAACAGTGTTTCATCGGCAATGGAGTAATCGCAAAAATTACAATTGGCCAAATTGACGCGACCCGATACACAAATGTGGCACATCATATGCTCCTTCAGTACATCGGATTTGCTTGTGGTGAATGGACAGTGTGGACATTTCTCTTCACGGTTCGATTTCTCCGGCGAGGATTTATCATTTTGCTTGCCATTCGATAGCACTTGACGCTCGGAAATCCTTTGCTTGCTTGAGTCCGCATCGTTGTTGCCGTCACGAGTAAAGGCTTTGTTTGGCACTTTGCTTGTAATGATAGCGTCATCCAAATCAATGGCCGTATTTTTATCGGACGTCCTGGCAATCAAACTAATTAAACTATTCTCACCACTCAAGTGCATCTGAATGTGTTGGGCTAAGATGGCTTCGTTTGGCGCCTCAAAGTTGCACAATTGACACCGAAACTCGGCACTTGATTTGATCAGTGCCAGTACATTGCCATTGCATAGAATTGGATTGCTTTTCAACAGATTGATAAGTAAATTCCGTTGATCGGCGTCCATTGCCTGAATACTTGACTCGCCTGAAATGGTTTCTTTGGCATTCGCATCTGTCGCACTTTTGTTCGCATCACTGATGACTGGCAATTTTATCGGATATTGCTTCGTGAGATAGGATAAACTTTCTTTTTCCACCGATGTTGACGCAGATGATGTGCCGGCAACATTTATATCCTGCGACACAGTGGGTGCATTATTCGTTGATGATGATGATGATGTGGCATTTGTGGTATTATGCAATGTCAACGGTTGGTATGCATCATTACTTCCTTTGATTTTTATCTCGATTTGAATGTCTCCATCGTGCTTCAAGCGACAATGACGCTGTAAAATATATATAAAAAAAAAGAAGAGAAGCACGCATTTAGTCATGTTATGTCATTGGCTTGGATTCGGTTCATGGTTCAAATGAGCTCAAAACTTGCACAAAAACAACGGCACTTTTTGCATACGATTCAATCACAAGAGAAAAAAAATTGGAAAAAAGAAAAAAAATTAAATTATATATGTACTCAATATTGACAATATTTTCCAACCATTTTTGGCTTAAATTGTTTCGCTTTAGTTAATATTCCCCGCATACCATTCAGTTAAACCAACATTTAGCTCGTTCGTTCGTTTTTCGCAGTCAAACGACAACAAACTTTTTTTTTACGTTAACGATATGTTTTACACAAAGAAACTCCCATGACATTTTAAAAGAAAATTACCCGTGAAATAATGCAATATCTAATGGAAGAGAATAAACCGAAATTTAAAGAAAAAATTAAGACTAATTTTTTGATACTACGATTTTAAACCCCCATTTTACCTCAACCATGAATTTCCAATTATAGAAATAAAATAAGATAAAGAAATGATTTATTAATTCTATCACCAATGTGTAGTACCCCGTTTTAATATTACGTTAAAATTTAAAATTCCACCAGATGAGCCAAAAATGTAGTTTTTTGTTGTTGTTGTTTTCGGAAAAGATAAGATGAACAGAATTTATGTAGAATGAGAATCGTCGATTTGAAATAGAAAACGAAATAAACTAAAGAAACCGTTTTGCGAAGTGAAAAAGTACCATTGTTAAAATATAAAACCCCCATAAAAATCCGGATGGTCACGCGATCCAATTAAAATTGAGAAATTTCGAAAATTAAAAGGAATTCCAATTGAAAAAATCAAGGCAAACAAAATTGGAATTAAAAAATGAGATTTTTGTATCGAGATGAAAAAGTAACGGTAAAAGGAACCGAAAGTGTTTAAAATTTTGTTCAAATTAAAAATAGAAATCAGAACATTAGAAGAATACCAAAATTAAGAAGAAGAAAATCTTCTTCCAAAATAATTTAAACTCGAAAAGAAAAAAAAAACCCGGCTACGTGACCATCCCGACAAAAAGAAAATAAAATTGTGCGAAATGAGAGCATAATGAAGAAAAATGAAAGAGTGAGATTGTGTGTGTGTGGTTAGTAATACCTGGATGACATGCTTCCAGTTTGAGACTTGGTGACAATGACCGCATCTGTAAGGAGCTGCACACAGCTGTGGTGCCTCGCCACAGGCTGTGGTGCCCCGCCAACCATTTACCGAATTTAACCCAGAACTTGCCTCATCCATCTCACCGTTCTCGTTAGTTGCAATACTAGTAGAAGGATTTGATTGATTTTGGCTTGCGATTGCCGGTGTTTGTAATGCGATTGATGATTGATTTGCATTTACGTTTACGTTTTGTGTATTAATTGATGGAATGGGTTGTTGTTGTTGTTGCTGCTGTTTAAGTTCAGCCAAAAATAGATGGGATGAATTACCGCTCAACTGATTTAATGCCTGAATACGAATTTGCGTTTGATCAGCAGCTTGCTGTGACAATTGTGGATGCTGTATTAGCAATTTAGTAGCGCTTGGCGATAAAGCTGATAAAATTCCATTTACATAGACATTATTGTTGAATTCATTGGCATTTAGACCGGCCACTGCGGCACCGCCGCCATTCGCTTGATCGTCGATCGGTATATTTGCATCTTTGTAATGGCCTTTAACGTGTTGCAAAACCACATCGCGATTGCTGTGTCTGAAATGGCACAGAAAAAAACCCACACATCAATTTAAGTGAGAAAAAAAACCCAAACAGTCAATAGAACAAAAAGTAGAAAACAGAATTGTCTTTACCTGAAATTGCACTTTTTGCATTTGAATGAGACCTTTTTCGTGTTTGTATCGTTGTCATTTTGTTTATCATCATCATTATCGGCACTGGAATTAAATTGATTGTTTGATATGCTGTACAGTAAGGCATTTTGTGCAAGCGCTCCACGATCCTCATCGCTGTGATCAATGTCTGGTTTTCTTCGTTGCAATGTGGCTTCCTGGCTGGGTGTCATTTCGCCGGATTTCATGTGTTTCGGATCGCCGTCTTCGTCGGTCACTTTCATCAATGTTATGTACCTGTTATATTTTGTATAGTTTCTGCGTCCAGTTTCGTCGTTCATGAGAACTTTAGCACTTTTGTGGCTGGCATCGCGAATAGTCTTAAGGCGAATGTGTTTGGTGATATCCCAGCGCCAGTTCGATCGATACGAACACAACGAGCACTCAAATGGTTTCTTATTCAAATGGCCAACGATGTGAACGTGAAATCGTGAGGCGGTCGACGCCCAAAACGAGCAATGCGGACATTTGAACACTTTCTTCAACGATGAATGCATCGCCTCTTCGTTTGGATTCATTTTCTTTGTCACTTCACCATAGCCAGGTGCCGTTTCAATTCCAAAGTATGTACTATCATCGGCTTTTTCATCGTCATTGTCATCGTTGTTGTCGATTTGGGTAGCGCTTTCGGTTTGAATGTCATTCAATGGTTTTGGGTCGGGTTGTGGTTGACCGGCACTGATGGCCGTCTGTTGTTGTGGCAATTTATTCCAAACGAACACTTTGTTTTCCATTGGATGCGGTTCATTTGTTAGATCAATCATTCCCTCGTCGGTTAGTTCGCCGTTTACGTCAAGCTTTTCATTGTTGCTCTCTACCTCGGATGCTGAATCACATGATTCGGCACTTGTCCTTGCCTCAGCGCAGCTTTGCAAATGAACATAGAGATCGGCGCTGGTCTTGCAACGATGTCGACAATATTGGCAACGTGTCGATGTGCCCAAATTGGCGATAATCAAATTTACCGGTGACACACTTTGTTTTTCGGCATTTTTGCGACAGGATTTCTTATGAATAATCGCTTCCGACAAGCATTTCGATGTGTGACCACATTCGCACATTAAATCACGACTGCCCGAGGCGAATTTCTCTTTCAATTCGTTGAAAAAGTTGGTGTTTTTTCGCTTGGCCGACGATGCATTCGATACGGGCGAGAGTTGCGAAGTTTCCGAGCCATCGAATACCTCTTCGCTAACGAATAACGAAGCCAAATCCTTTAAGACACTTTCTTGTTTTTTCGATTTTGCAATTTCCGTTCCGAATAAATTTTCAATTGAGCCCCAGATTTTGTTGCTTTGTGCCGCAAAATCCCATTCGTTTTTCTTGCTGCGTGTGCTCAAGTTCATGGCATCAGCCGATGTGGTCGGTTGAATTGGGATCAAATTTGGCAGTGGCCGTACGGCTTTTTTCGGTGGCGTTGGCACCGGTGTTGTTGATTTATTCGACAAATCGGCCGCACTTGATTGATACTCTTCGATTAAATCATTTTCATATTTGGCTCGTTTTGATCCATCGGAGCCATCATAATTGTCGTCACTGTTGTTATTGTCCATACCATCGCCGACTTCACCGTCACTGTTATCGCCAATATTCATGATGCCATAGTCAGCATCCATCAAATCGGTGCCACCAACTTTATTACGGCGACGTGCCATGCTCATGCCCGTTGCATGTCCTACCGGCGGAACATGATGGTTCATTTCATGCACCGTTAAACTTTGTTTAATGTCCGCCGTAAAATTGCAGGCAGAGCATTTAAATGGACCGGCGCCACCGTGATTCTTCATATGCCTATCCAAATTCCATTTGTACGGTGTACGAAAATCGCACATAACACATTTGATCATGGGCATTGAATGGTATTTCACGTGTTTGCTGAATCGAGCCTTAATATGTGTAACGTAACTGCACTTTTGACAACGAAAGAATTTCGTTTTATTATGTTCTTCGCGTTCGTGTTCGACCATTTGCGTTCGATACAATGTGGTGTAATCGCATAGTGTGCATTTTAAGAACTTTTGATTTAACACTTCCGCACTCATTTGATTTGTTGCATCGACTGCATTCGATTGAGATGCGGCCGACGATGCATTCAATGATTTATTATTACTGTTGTTGTTGTTGTTGTTGTTGTTGTTATTCACCATACCGGGCGAACCACTACTAGCTGCAGCAACAGCGGCGGCAGCAGCAGCAGCCGCTTGTAATACGGAAAATGAATCATTCAATGTGACATTAGTCGAACTACTACCGGCACCCGACAATATTTGTATTTTACGTTTTTTCTCTTCGCGTGCCAACTGTGATGCGCGTTTACGTGATTGTGCTTGCTCTTCTAGGCCATCGGTTGAGCCATGCACCATTTTCATATGACGCACTAATTTTTGATAGTGACGCGATGCGTACAAACAATGCTTGCACTCATTTATGATGATTTTTTCACCGTGAATGTCCCGCAAATGTGCCAAAAAATGACGTGGATTTTGGGTGAAAAAACTGCAATTGTTACACGAATAATTTCGCTTTATTTTACACTGCGGCAAATTACTGTCATCGTCTTTTTTATCATGGGCCGATGATGGCGATTGCAAATTATTATTGTCTATAATTTCTTCGATACTATCGTTGGTTGGATCGTGATAGTCGGCGATAATGAGTTTATCGTGTAGACTCTTGTCGCTGCTATTGTGCGCCGAATGTTGGCCACCCAAATAAAGTTGATCACCGCTTACAACACTTCGTATAATTAGTTTATCGCCTGATCGATGCACCATCGATGGAGCCTCCATTGTGAGAGTTGTCCAGTTGCAGGAGCAACACTCTTAAACACACGCTCAATGAATAGATCCTGCAATGGAATGGAGGGGAAACAATTATTATAAACATCAATTTTTAATGAGTGTTTCATTCGCATTGAATAAATTAAAACGCTCTATGGCGAAGAAAAATTGAAAAGAGAGAGAGAGAGAGAGAGAGAGTGAAGTAAAACAGGAAATTGTGACGCAATTCGGGGTAACACCACACAAAAACATTGTAATTGAATTAGCTAATCATGATATAATTCTTCCAAGGACTGATTGAACAAACGCAAAATGAAATGAATGTGCAAGGTGAAACACGCCATCTATTTATATCTTACCATTTTGACTCTGTGTTGTTTATTGAAATTGCAACCTAGATCTCTATACTCTTTCCGTGTATATAGATTTATACTGTTTGTCACTGTGTATCTCTTTCGATTAGAGTTTTTTTCTCTTTTGTAGTTTTTTTTTGTTCTTTTATTTTTCTCTATCAAAAACAATTGTGGCACTAAGTGGTTTGGGTCGTTGAACTAGAGTACAAAAATTGAAATACAAAACCACAAGAAAAATGGTACTCGTTGGCCAATTTATCGATTTGTTCCTAATTATATGTGTTCGTATGTGAAAACTGTATTGAAAACTTGCTGCTCGAAACCGAATGAACGTTGAAAAAGAATGTGGAGGCAACAACGACGACGACTACGACGATGACGATTAAACATCGCCTGTTTGACGGCAACTGAGATATTAACACACCACGACACGCGCACGAAAAAATGTTGCCGCACACGGGACTACAAGAAGCAACACCGAATGCCTAACAAATGAAGAAAAGCACTGCTGCTTTTGAAAGCGCACCGAAAAACGTGTGAGAGACTAGAGGAAAAACACCACCATCAGCAGCAACAGCAACAACAACGGCACAAGCTGAAACCACCACAAGAGCGTGTAAGAGTGAACGTTGAATGAGCGCACGAGAGCGAGAGCAGAGTCCGGATTTTTCAACCACGAAACAACGCTTTGTAGTGACAACTGAACCAACTGAAGCACTAACAACGGTATAAAACGAACACCGCAGCAGCAACAAACAGAACTACCACCAATACCAATGCATCCAGATTTTTCAACAATAATATTAACAACAAAACAAGCACACAGCAGAGGAGCAGCAGAGCAGCAGCACCACCATGGCTCATACACGTATACGATTTAACGGCGAAAGAAGTGTGTTTTGTGCTTGCTTTTTCTATTTCACTCTGTTGAAGAGACGACGACGACGATGAAAAATTTCCAATTGAAATACCGAGAACAACGTTGGATGGATGGATGGATATGGATGATATCATCACAGTAAAACACACAGCACAGCAAAAAATGCAGCACAAAGAACTCTCTTTCTTTCTCTCTCTCTCTCTCTCTATTTAAGTGAAATTGAAACTGTTGTGGAATACACAAAACACACAGCACAGCATAGCCAATTGAGTGGTGAGAGTAGTTTGTAATGGAAAACAGCGTAATTTCCAACACACGGCGTGTATTGTACAGGAAAAACGGAGAAAATACTCTTCTGTTTGTGTGCTGTGAGCAATACGAAGCAGCTGGCTAACGAGCGAGTGAGCAACGAACGAACAAACGAATGAGCGGCGTGAACGGTAATGCACAAGAAAGGTAACTGCAACAACAAAACAACATCAACAGATACAGTCAGCAAAAAGCTACTACCCTCCACAGTGAAGCGACCAACGCAACGAAACGAACATTCGCCAACGATGAAGAAACATTCTAGAAGATGTCGATGACGCCGTATACCTCACACACACACACACACCGTCGTTGGTTCACACACTCTCTCCCTGTTTGTGTTGTGTTTGCCACGAATTATGGAGCATATTTCGATGTTTTTCATCACAAAACACACATACACGCGCACCGAGTTGGTTAACATTCATGGCGGCATTTGGAGCAAGCAGACTTTAACACTCTGTGGAACTCTTGAAGAATTGGTTATTCATCATTTCGGAAATGATTTATTGGCATTTTGAAAGTTGACTCATTCGGACCACTTAATGGTAAATCGCAACACAAAAGGACATTTTGTGAATCGGGTGCTTTGCTCCATTCATTCGGGCCGAATTACATGCCAAACGGATCATTCAATCAAACATACATAGACAATGTGCTAGTTTCTTTCATACACATATACATGTTATATTTTATGACGACCACGTAATCGTCGTCATCACAACCACCCTCTCGCCAACAGCGAACAAAACGCTAAGTTATTGGGCACACCATCATAGTCGGTCGTATGGCTGCATTTCTCTGTTAAAATACAAGAAATAAGAGACAAGAATAACACCAACAAGAACACTGTTGCTACCAGTGTGGCGTGTATGCGAGAGAGTAATACTAAGCGCGCTGGTGGTGTGTTACGCTTGATATCCTACATGGAACCCACCGAACAGAGAGAGAGAAAGAGAGACAAAGCGGAAAAAAAAGAACACATGAAATGTGGATAATGGAAGCACAGTTGATGAAGGATTCAAAATACAAGAGCGCATATTGTTTGGACGCTCTCATATAGCTCAGCAAATATAAACATTTGATTATAACAAATGAACGAAGAACGAAGAATGAATAGAAAAAAAAACATTCTTGATTACTTTTATATATTATTTATTTGGTCGATTCGAATATCGTCTCTTTTGTTGTTCACTGCTACTGCGCGCGCTCTCTCTCTTGTGGGCTTGTTTCGCTGTTGCCTTTTATTCTCGTCCAATTTTGTTGATGATGATGCAGTTAATTGGCTAAACAATTTGAATGGCAACGCAACAATGTGACTATTTAAATTGAATCTTTTTATGGAGAAAGACTAGACTGAAAAAAACCTACGTTAGGTTGGCTATTTTCGGGCGATATTGTTATTATTAATCATGCCGATTCTAGATCGATGGAAGAATCCATTGAATTTTTTTTTCAATTGGAACTGGTTGAGACACAAACAAAACTCTTCAGTTCATTCAAAATGCGATGGGAAGAAAACCATAAAATTGATTTGTTTTTTTTTCTTTCTTTTCGTGGAATCATCATTTTGTGGAATAGTTTCAAGTTCGAAATCACGCGTAATTCGATGACACAAATAAAGTTGAAACGATCTGTCTGCGTCTCAATCGAATCTGTTCTCAATAATTCGTTAAAAGCAGCCGCACCAAAAAAAAGTAAACATCGCCTAATAAATTTAACGATAGCGATCATCGTCGAATTAAATTTCCATTGAATGCAACGACGACGACGACGGCGACGATGATGATGACGGCAGAAAAAAAAGCAGCGACAAACGCAATAACATCAATGCACATTGATCTTTGAAACAATAATCGCAAACCGAATATGTTCAAGTCGTTTGTCGATTCCTTCGTGCCAAAACAGCCGCACAAGACAGTAATAGCAAAGAGAGAAGAAAAGAAAAAAACAGCAGAACGAAGACAGTATCGACAGACTGTCACACAATGTGTCTGTGATATTATTGCATCGCAATGCACGCATGTAGACCAAATAGAGAGAGAAGGAGACAGAGTAAGAGCGAGCTGGCGAGCGAAGCGAACGAAGTGGCGGTTGCACCGATGTGAATATGTGTGTTGCATAGAAATTGCACTGCGCTAAATACATTGAGCGACCTTAACGATGTCAGGGCTATCATCATCAGAATCAAGTGTGCATGAACACAAATGTACACAATTTTTCGTCATTGTCGCCGTCGTCGGTCGTCGTTGTCGTGTGTGCCTTTTCTTCTTCTTCTTCTTTGTTCAAATGGTTGTTTGCTGTTGCATCGTGCAACAAAATCAGCAAACGATGATTTCATTTGTATCCGTTCTGTCAAAAATATATAATTTAGAGCGAGATATAGATGAACTCGGTGTGTGTTTGTGTTTTTGTGATGTTAACTCTCTGTTGCTTCAGAATGAAAAACTCGCATGATTTTTTTTTCTCTACATTTAGAAAATGGACGGTCAATGTGCATTATAAAAATTGCACACAAATACGCGTCCGCTTGCACCGCACACAAATAATGATGAAAAAATAAAGTAATAAATATTGAATCTCGAATGGAAGTTTAATTTTGTAGTCACTTTTACTGCATCATAAAATAATTATCCATTTAGCGGTTTGTTCTTTTCCTTCAGAATTTGCTGCTGTTTTTTTCTACCCGCTCGCAACAAAGTCCTATCAGTTGAGTAGTGCTGTGGATTGGCTACTTAAAAACCTTCGCTCATTTTTTTTTATGGTAATCACATCTACTGGCACCGCTATTTAATTACAGTACATCATTTCAAATGAAAAACAAACTGCGTCATATTGTGCTTGGAGAGGAATACAAAAATAATACATCTGACGTTCGTGCTATTTTCCTAAAAGAAAATTACTCGCTGGCATTCTATTCTCTCTCTCTCTCTCTCTCTTTCCCTCCATGTTTCGGTGCATTTGTGCATTGCCGGCTCCCGCCTCCATTCCAACGATGCACACTTATGATGACAGGTAAAAAGACAGGGGAAATTGGGAGCATTGAAATTAGGAATATAAAATAATCACATATTTTTCTGTTCACTCTTCGCGCGCGCGCGCGCTCTTAAATGTACATTGTACAACAATAAATTGTGTAAATGCAACATTCAGCGCGCGCTCATACAACAAAGAGGTTGAGGTCAAACTATTCAGCAGCAGCAGCAGCGATCATTCAAGCAAACGCACATGCACGCGCTGCTCCATGAGCAGCACCGTGATTCATTTGTATTCTTTTTTTCTCTCTGCAGAGAGAATTTCAGCAACAAAAAAGTAGCGTAATAATTTCCAATTAAAAATTGAATGCGTTTAATTTGTGCGAGCTCGGTTTCATTTGGCCAGGTAACGTAACACTGGATCACACTGGTGTGTATGTGCAGCTTTTTCTCTCTCGTAGCAATAGCAAGTCTCTTCGCTTGCTCATGAAATCACACGCACGTCAGACACTACGATCGACTGGTATATTACTTAACACATTTTGTGCATGTATTTGCTGTTGCTACTTTTTTTCTTTGCTCTTCGGTTCACAATAATAATTCAAAAGTATTGAAATCAAATCCTTTATGGCAATAAATCTCTTTTAAAATCAAGTTCAATTACGATATGCAAATGGCATAAGCAATTTCATTGAACACCTTGCTTGTGGTTTATGTGCATTTTGCTTTATCTGTCTTTCTTCATCGCTGCTGCCGTCGTAGTCGTCGTCGTCGTTGTCATCGGATTCGTTTTGTTTGCACGATGTTGTTAATTCCTTCGGCGTGGCAAACCATTTAATCATGACTCAAACGTGTGTGAAATATGATTATGTTGCTTGAAGGTTTTAGTTGCCGCGTATTTATTTTTTTTTTCTGTCGTAATATTTCCAGTACAATGATTGCTGCGGGCACTTGACAATGATCACAAGGCATCGCATTTCCATAAATGGTTTGAAGATCGCACCGAACATAGTTGAATGATGATGAGCTGCCACGACGATTTACTTTTTGACTTCGAATAAATTGAGTGCGCACCGCGGCAAGAACACTTAGCGGCGTTGCTGTTGCTGCTTTTGTTTTTCTTTCAGTCTGTCTTGAATAATACGCGCCTAGCTCATTGCTCACTCATATTGTAATATTCTGCGGAACATTACACAAATTTAACCGGAATATGGGTCAACAAGATAGTTCCACTTAGGCGATCGATTACCATTCGCTTAAAGCATTATCAATTGCACTTTTGTTTGTGTTTGACTCAAAACGTCCAATTACACTTTTAATACACTATTGACATAACAGAAAAAGAATGCAAAACGAAACAGAAAGAAGAAGAAGAAGAAGAAAAAATCGCAGACTCTGACCCAAAGAGCAGCCATAAATAATTGGCTATTCGCTGTATCGGGCCGATCGTGATCCGTAGAATTTATGCGAAGAAACGTCAAAACCTCGAACTCTCAATTTTCCGTCGTATAACCATGACGCATTGTATTCGGCCGAAACCGAAGGCAATGCCGCATTCGATCGCTTCGCAAGTGACATGCATATCATTTGCCAATTGTGTATGTAATCGATTGTGTGCGTATTTGTATTATGTTATCAATTTCGATTTCTAATGGTGAAAAAAAAGCACTGAAATCAAAAGTCGTTCAAAAGCAGCAACAGAGACGACAACGACGACAACGGCAGCAGCGGCGAAATAGAAACAACAATGACAAATTGTGCATTGATCGCAATTATGACACACAAAGAGAGAAGCCAGAGCCACGGTCTATATCGATATAGCACGAAGAGATACGACAATTCCGCAGAGCAGCAGCAACGAGACAAAAGCAAAAGCAACAAATAACAACAACAACACACCGAGAGAAGAAAAAAAAGAGTCTTTTAAGAGACACACGCAAATATACATCAGTTGCGCGATCGGCGCGCGGTAATTGCACATGTTTTACCGCGAACGTGCGCTCAAGCGCACTCACACTCACATACATCTTGATTCTTTATAGGTGTAATAAACCTCGACACTAATCTGCTTGAGATGACCTTTTTTGTATAGTTTTAGTGCAAGCACATTGAATTTATCTCTCTAAGCGCCGAAGGAATCATGAACAAACGAAAAATTGCAAGCGTGCACGCGCTCCTTCTCTAGCAGTGAAACAAATGAAGCGACTCAGTCGAAAACGACAAACGAACGAACGAACGAACGAACGAACGAACGAACGAATGAAGAAAAAAAACTTAATAAATTTCACGAATGGCGTTTAAATTAATCGATATAATATACTATGTATACAAACGCATTTGATTCGCTTGACTGCATCTGCTGACGTTCTTGCCTAAGTATGGCTAGAACACGCGCTCCCAACTGAGCAATCCAAGTACACGGCAAACGAGAACATTTGCACCGAGATGCACACACAGCTTTTTTCCGTCTCTTTTTACCGCTGCTTTGTACTGTGTGCTAATTTTCATTTCAACCAACAATTGATCGCTTTTCAAATACTAGCATCAACGTGTTGCTTATTGTTTAGATCGAATCGGTTGGGGAAGAGTTGATGGTTTCTTGGAAAATTGGGTGGTGTTTTGGCTTTCGGTTTTCATCATCGATTGGCGTAAACATCAGGCGATCGAGCGAACGCTCATTCATACGAGAAATTCATGCAAAACGCCGCAGATTAAAACATGACTGGCACTTAATTACTCGTGCGCGCGAGAACTTAAAAACAGCACACCGAAAAGAATAAAATACAAAGAGGAGAGAAGAAAAAAATTAAACCGAATGGTATGCCTACTGACACACATACCTATAATAAGCTGTGCCGCGCTCGCGCGTCAGCGGTGAGTAAAAACAACAACAACAGCATAACTTTAACAAGTTCTAAATGTATTGGTCATGGACTTTGGCAAATTTATTCTAAACTTAGACTTTTTTCTCTTCTCCGATTCTAATTGCTTTTTCGTCTTCTTCTTTTCCATTTCATTGTGCAACGCAAGAGAGATGTGATTGTGTGCTGTTTTTTTTCGTTTTTGTTTTTCTCTTCTCGCCGTTTCTCGGATCCGCGCATCGAGAATATGAAACGCGAAATTGTTGTGTGCCGTTTTTTTTTTCTTCATTTTTCATCGCTATTCTTCTAATTCATTGTTCATAGAAAATTACTGCATTGCGAATCATTATTATTGTTATTGTTGTTGTTCTATAAATCTCTGATCGCCGATGAGGCTCACTGAATTCGCTGAAAGAATAATATCGCAAATTGTTGCTGTCGCCATTCGCCGCCGCCATGTATCTCTGTCACTCTTTTGCGATTGCAACGGCAATCGAAGGCAGTTTGATGTGAAAATTTATTGGTGAGAATACTGTTAAGACTTCTAATTGGAGTCATGTTGAGAGATGTTGTATGAACGATGTTACTCATCATTTTCAGAGAACCAGCAAAAAAAAGCACTGATAGCTCTTTCAAACAAGGAGCGAGTGATAAGACGGCGAGATATATATTCGCAAGATGACAACAACAGAAACTGGCTCTCGTGTTGACTGTGAGGTGTTGCATCCAACGCCGGCGAGGAGATTGAACAAAAAAGAAAAGATGTGTCGCATTATAGTATAACTGGTTAGCAGATATAAATTTGCCTTGCTGACGTCCAATTTTGCAAATATATATAATTCTTTGCCGTTGTTATACTTCACTTTGTTTTTTCGTTTGGTATTTGACATTTATATGTAATATCTATCAAAAGCAATCCGACGAAAAATATATATCATCGATACGATGGCGGCAGCAGCAGTAGCAGTATAGCAGCAATATGCACACCCGAACATCATAGCCAAGAATATGATTCGGATAGAGTTGGTTGCGCGTGTATGTACATGTGTGTGTGTGATTGTGTGCATCTATTGCATGAGCAGAGCACAACGGAACACGAAGGCAACTGGCGCGCGAGCGCGCGCGACCAATATCGCTACAAACAAAAAAGCGAGAAGAGAAATAAATACAACAAAATGTCGAACAGCACTGAAACGCAAACACGCGGGGCATTCCGAAAACTAGAATTCAAAATAGAAATGAAAGAGAAAGAAAGTATGCGACGATTTTGCGTGCGATAGCATCGAGTGTAGTGCGAAAAAGACTGAATGATACGCTGACAAGTGAGGAAAAAAAGCGCAAAAAAAGTAACAACAACAAATCGTCAGAACATCGTGAAAGAGAGAAAAAGCGAGAAGGAGACATCCGCGCACACACACACAGAGAGAGAGAGAGAGAAAGAGAGAGAGAGAGAGAGAAAGAAAAGAGCAAAAAGCGCACAGCAGTGTTAATTTCAAGGTGAAATTTTTGTTATTGAAGAATCAAGAATTACCGCGCGACTGAGACTCTATTTTCGTGTGTACTAACTCTATTGACTGTACCCTGAGTGCGCACGCCATTATTAGAAGCGCTCAGAGGCGCGCTCGCGCACACACTTTTGCTGTGCATTTGAATTGTGCACATGCATTTTATTTAATAAAACTACCATATAATTTGTACAGCACACAAAAATAAACAGCGAAACAAAAAGAGAAGAAATAACAAACATACAAAAACCAGCGCCAAAGAAAGAAAATTATTTTCGTTATTTTGTTGTGTGTGGTTTTTTTTCGTTGTTCATTTGTTATTGGTACTGCTGCCGAGCTGAAGTTTGATGAGTTTTTATTTTGCATTTCATACTGGTTTTTTTTTGTTATTGTTGCACTATGCACAATGTGTACTGCATTACGTGCCACATTTTTCTATTATCGTCGTTGTGCTTTTTTTTATCCGTTGCTCTTTGTCGTTGTTTTTCTCTCTCTCTGCTTGTGCTGTTGTTCTTGTGCTTTATGATTATTGTTATTGATATTCATTTTCTTTAGTTATGCATCATTTGAAGACAGCGCGCGGTGAAGCCGAAACGGAAAACGTTTAGAACAGTGCGCTGCGCGTATATTTGAAGCACGATCGCGCGGCTATTGCTGCAATTTTCTCTCTATCGCACATTCAATGGCAAATGCAGCAGCAGCGGCTGGGTGAAAAAAAATCAACAATTCAATGCGAGATGGACGGCGATTACAATCATATATATTCAATGGCCGTCCGCTGCATTCAGAATCTGTTGAATTCAAGTTGGTCTTCTATTTTCAACATTTTTTTTTTGCAATTCAACAAGAGATTCTATACAAGCGATATACGTTTTCAATTTCAGAATGCAATTAGAACACAGAAAGCTCTCTTGCAAATACACCAACACGGCCAATTCACACACACACACACACTATCTCGCTCACAATGATTACGGAGCCGGTGTGATATTCTATTTATTAGCCGATAATTTGAAATACGTAAATGTGCATTTGGATTCTATACATAGAATTATAATAATAATTAACGACGGATGGCTGTGGGAATTTTGCGAGAGTTAGAGCACACACAGCTCGGCTAGCTCTTCGGTGCGGTTGCTGTTGTTGTTGTTATTATTTATTTGGTTGTTGTTGCTGTTATTTGGTCGGTGCTTAGAGAGCAGCAGAAAAAAAAACGAGCGTCAATTGTACGGGTGAATATGATGTGAACAGGCCTTGGCGATTACAAGTGCAACCGATTTGGTATCGATATGCTATATTTCGCTCTTGTTACTGCCGCTGCTGCTGCTGTCGTTGTTGCTTCTTTTCTACTTCGTTGCGTGATTTGATGAATATATTTTTTTTTCCCATTGGCACGACATGCACAAACACAATGACGCCCCGATTCCAAATCGGTTTCCATGCGGCTCTCTTTGTCTGTGAATGCAGCGCGCGAACAAAAAGCAGCAGCAGCAGCAGCAGAGAAAAAAAAACACAAACGGACAGCAAATGCATTGGCAACAGTGACACGCGTGCACAAATTGTAAATGTATATCAATGGGCAATAATTGCCTGGCTTTGGTTATATAATAAATTATTTATCATTTTCGTGCTGTGCGATTCCAATTTGCCTTCATGGAATTCCGATGCACAAAATCGCGCTCGCGACGTCGTCGTCGTCGCCGCCACCGCCCTGAAACTACCATCATGATCAATCAGATGGCGGTTTTGCATTGCATTTCACATTGAATTGAACAACGAAAAAAAAAATTGTATGAATTTTAAGTAGCGAAAATAAAGATGTACAGAGATAAAAGAGACCACCTCATTCAATTGACCGTCAAATTCAAAGTGTTTGTGTTGGTTTTTTTCTTCTCTCTAGGTTATTTCTACCAATGAAAATGTTTTGCATTGTTTTCAGAGCGCAGCAAACGATGGAGAAAAACATTGTGAATTGAAAAAAAAAGGAAGAAAAAAAATATGGAATAGCAACATCGCAATTTTTAAAATTCACGACCGATGCAGCACTTGTTGTGGTCACAATTGCTGCGTTTATTCAGCGACAACTGGTGATTCTTATCAAACAATGCGATGATTCCTTCGAAACCAAAGCAACAAGTGTAATATACATTGTATGAGATCCAATGAGCGCTGCTGCCACTACCGCCGCCGCCGTTGCTATCGGACAACACAATGCTCACAAATTATCACGTGATGGACGTGTGTGTGTGTCTTTGAATAGTTTCTTTTCTCTTCTCTCTACTGTTTTTGTTGTTTTTATTGTCTGTTTAATTGTTTATCTTTAAAGGTCTTTCTCTGCATAAAAAATCTAGCGTCGCGCTCACTGATTTATGTGGAAATAAAATTTCATTAGGTCTTTTTTTCTAACGCTATTTGCTGCGTTTGTGCACAAAAAGCAACGACATCAACAATGTTTCGCTCACTCGTTTACATTCTATCTATCTCATTTGTTCGGTTGATTTGTTGATTTTTGCCTTCCCCAATTCTTAATTTAAATGCAATGAATCGCGCAAACGTCTTGGTTCAGTGCAATTTTGCTGTCGGCAGGCAGGCAGGCAGAAACAACACAAAATAGACATGCACTCGCACTCACATCAGGGCAATCATTCAACGCCCAGAAAAATAGAATCATCTAAACAATATTATTATTATTTTATTCCGCAGTAGAAAATTCAAAAGAATCTCGAAATGTGCAAAATCGACAACCGCAATTGTCCGAATACATCTCGCGAGTCGCAGCAACAGTGCCTGGTTTGAAATTGTGTGTGTGCGCGCATTCGCTTCACGGAATGAGTAAGTGGAAAAATTTAGCATTGGGGCATTGTGCACATTGCATGTGTACAACTATCATGAAGAATAGAAATGCGCGAGCGAGCAAGTGAGACACAGAGAGAGAGAGTGTGTACACACGCGCTCTCTAGTTAATTCTCCGATTCGCCCATTAGAAATTCATTAGAGACAGAGAGAAACAAAAAAGAAGAACAAAAACGCAAGGAATCGTCAAACAACAAGAATTATTTATTGAGCTTCTGCGTGATGCTTGTGCTTCTATCTTTATGCATGTTTCGTTCGCTCGCCATTCGCCTTGGATCCATATTGCATCGCGCACTCATGGTAGTATTACGATTGTGTGTGTTTTTTTTCACTTCTCGTTGTTGTTGTTGTTGTTCGATTTCGAAATGCGCAATCGCATCAACATTCAGCGATTCCAGCGCGCGCAGCCACCATTCCGTCAGAGTGAAACACTTAAGTGGGTTTCCTTATCGGCTCGTAAACATTCAAGTGGAATTTTTAGTTTCTTTTTTTTTAATTGGATCAGCGATGATTGAATGGAGATTTCATACCAATAAAAAAAATCCCGATTGGTTTATATTTCTTTGAATTAACAAAGCACACACAATTTTATGCTCTCAATGCGCAATTCTCTTTATTTCCGAAGAATTTTTCATTTCCTCCCGCACCAGATAGCGGCTGATTCATCAAAATCTTTGGTGATTTTGTTGAGTTAATGCTAGAAATATGTGTTGAAATTCAATGTAGTGTCACCGAAGTCTTTCTTGGATCGGTTGACGCAACACACACCGGACATACAAAAATCCAATGTAAACACACACACATAATGTGTGTCAGCTAGTCAACGGTCGAAGTGACTAATCCACATGATTTTGATGAATTGCGTCTTAATTGTGGCATGTTCTGTGATAAGCACCAGTTTTTTTTTTCAAATATTTTCTTCTCCTTCACTCTCTTGGTCGTTTACTTTTCGTCGCTATAATTTTAATGGCTCAATGCTGACATTGGTGATTCTTTTCAATTTACATTGGCCAAAATCCAAACAATGTATGACTCTGTTTTTTTTTTGTTCGGACGGAGACAAATTTTTCATTCTCGCATTGGAATCAAACAATTTTTGACATTGCTACCGAGAATCGGTTTATTTTCACAAAGAATAAACTGAAAAAAGAATGATTATGCATACGAAGCGGCGACGACGACGACAGGAAAACAAAAGAAAAAAACGTTTGAATTTGGATTGAACGTGCCATATCGCGGTATTTTAAATGATAAACAGTGTGCGGATGAAATTGAGCATGGTATATGGCGACGACGTGATGTACTCATGAATACCGAAACATTAAATCACAAGACACACATACTTTCTTTGTTCAACTTTGTTTACTTCTGCTGCTGCTGTTGCTACTGGTGTGCTGTCGTTGCCGAAAAGACAGAAACATCCATAAAAATAAAAAGAATAATAACAAACGTTTGCAAATAAACATGCACCAACGAAATGAGCTGTGCATTATTCAGACATTTACTTCAATTTTTGTCCATATTTTTTTTTT